ATATATATATAGTATTCAACTTTGTTCGGGTATTTTCCCACGTCATTGTAGTTGTGCTTTTAAAGTTGTAGCAACGTTTTGGCAGAATCTCATCTGCCATCATCAGGCTTCTGTATTGTGTCTGTCTGGTCCTTACTGTGTATATATGCAAGTGTATATAGCCTGATGAGAAACAACATGGTTGTTAGATTAACATTTAGATTGGATGTTAATGTTAATAATCTGATTGTTGAGGATATGTTCAGACATCCAATCTACATTAATACACACATTAATATATAAGCCTTGTTTCTTCATAAATCAGAGCAGGAATTTGGCTTCTAAGCTATTTCTCAATAAAAAAAACAGGCATTAGTAGCAGCTACAAAGCTATTTCTTACTTTAGCTATATTGGTGCCTTTAATAAGAGTAATCAATGTTTTGGAGCATACTGTATTTTACCATCTTGTCAGAAATTCATTACTGGCCTTAACTCTTTCCTATGAAACTGCAGTGGTGAAAAAGGAGCATGTACATGGCACTAGAGACCCCATTGTGAGAAAACCCCTGTAACATAAGACAAACCTTAACAGCACAGATATGTCAAGGACATGATGGTGCCAAAAAACAAACGCATGTAACTGAACACAAAGTCTGATGATGTCAGTTTACAACTCTTGCTACCTCTGGATAGAAATCTGACAAGTACCTGAAGGTCTGGCCATTCACTAGACTTACTTGAAGGAACCATCTCAAAATGATAAAACAAAGAAGAGGAAAGGAGGTAATAAATTAAATTAGGGCGTCTGTAATCTGATATCTTTGGGTTCTCTGATGAAGTCAATCTTCCCCTGTTAGGATCTGTCTGGCAGTGCAACTAAAAATTCTATTTGAATTAAGAGAAAAATGATCCATAATAAAGCTGATTTTATTTTCTTGATAAGACAAAACATTCTGTAAAAATGGACCAAACATTCTAGTCAAATACCTTACAGGAAATAGAGCTAGGCATAGTAAGTTCATAGAAGTGGCCTCTTTTCCCTTGATATATATTAGCCCAAGGAAAGATCATCACCTTTGTTCTCCAAAACTAGCATCTCCTCCCCAACTTCCTGCCCTGCATAATGACTTTTGTATTATTCTTACAAGGGTCCTGAAATTCAACTATTTCAATCAATAACAGCGTTCCCAATATCTCTATCAGGACAGGGTTTAGGACATTTCAGCTGCCCACAGAATCTCTCTCAAATATTCTTACACTTATTTTGTCTTATTTGTCAAGTTTGCTGGAAGTTAGAGTGGACTTGAGTTTGCTAGACGTTACAGGGTCTTGAAGTAGCAAAGTAGAAACCTTTGCTAAACCCATCTGGCACTGAGCACTTGTCAAATTCAGACTCAGCACCCTGAAGTACTTGAAGCTCCCCACCTTTGCAACACTCACTCACTTTCTGGATTTTCCTGATCTGGTCAGAGAGTGTGTCTAACAGGCGTGTTTTCAGGAAGTCCGTCACCTTGGCCACTCGGCCATCAAGGTAGTAACTGGAATGAAAATGAGAAGGCAACAGTCAGAGGGGCTGCAACTATGTGCTCTCCCTCACCTTGACCAAGGACCGCTGCTGTCCACATTTACATTTCCCCCAAATATTCTCTCTGTTCTACACAAGGTCAGCTGCTATTGGTGACCTTTGCCTCTTTTTTCTGTTCTTTTTCTGTGCCTTTGCCACATGCTTTTCCCTGTGCCCCAAACCCCATTTTTCTACAAGTTTCTCCATGGTGATATGTTTTCTTAATTCTTCTTAAATTTAAGTCTTCTTAAATCACTCTAACTTTGCCTTCTCTATACCTTTATTTTTACCTATAGCAATTTGTAAGTCCTAGATGACTTTATTAAATTTAATGAAGAGAGAGAGACCTCAACCCAGGAACATATTTCTACATAATGTCTAGAACTATGATAAGTATAAACAATAATGACTATACAAATAATATTAATAATTGATCACAAAATATGGAAGTCCCCTCAGTTGACTTTCCAGATCCATTTACTCAGATTTGTAAATAAATTCAAAGACCAAGTACAAAAGAATTCTAAACACCAAAAGCAATTAAATTGTTGGAGAATAAGAGAAGAAAGCCATTTCCTTCATGTTCTGTTTGTCTTAGATGTCCTAAGGTTGGTCATTGCAAGCCATAAAGATGGCAGGATCCAACCAAAGATTTAGAAGTCCTGTATTGGTATGTTAATTGCCATCATAACAGTTCCTACTAATTAGTCACTTTGATTTTCTCAAGTAATGATATGCATTGTACTAGAAATACACACAAAAAAAGACCCCACCACATACATGAGATAATAGCTAGGCTAGATTCACTGCAGAACCAACAATCTCAAGTAATATAATGTCAGCTGAGGATCATAGTGAAATAACCTTGGGAGGATATTGATTCTGTTATGTACTATGGAATCATCTTCCTAAAAGTTACCAACTGATTCCAACTTCTGTTTTCTTTTATTTTATCTTACCCTTTGTACTTATCAATAAACAATTTACTGGATAGTACATATAAAACAGGTAAAGGAGACTTATCCTGCTATAAAGTTAGATCTCAGAGAGCCATGGTAAGCTAGAGACAGCTTACCTTTCAGTGGAATATATTGATGGATTGTCTGTATCTAATTTAACATGAAGGAGTCAATAGTATAAATGTAATGTTAGTAAATTAAAACGATGAAGTTATATATAGTATATTCAGATGAAAAGCATATGCTACAATATCTGTGCTGGTATCTGGATGGGGAGGCGCAAGCTTAAAAATGAACCCTAGAAAAATGACATGGCCGTGGAATAGGAAACCATCCAGAATCTTCTATGAAAATTCAGTAAATAGTTTTGCATAGGTTTGCTCCATTCCGCATGAATTTATAATTTCTTTTGATTTTCAGTTCCTGCTTAAAGGGGAAATGGAAGCTGTGATAAGAAGGGCCTTTGCACAACTCCATATAGAACCTTTCTTGGAATGAGAAAAGCTGGACACAGTTATTCATGGCTTGGTCATTTTTGGTTGGAGTATTGTAATATATTCAATATGGGGCTACTTTTGAAGAGCATTCAAAAATCACAGATGATCCAGAAAGCAACAGCTTGAATAGGTATGGCTGCATCTCAATTTGTCCATATTTTCAGAGCTGCACTGATTACCACTTTGCTACAGTAGTAGGTACAATTAAAAAATCGTGGTTGTCATTTTTAAAGCCCCTTGCAACTCAGAATCTGGTTGTCCTAATTACTGCCTTCTTCCAGTTGGTCTGATAATATCAGACAGAAAGGCTTCCCTCCAAGCTATTAACACCATTTTCCAACAAGGCCTTGGGGATAGAGCTCTTATATATCATTCTTCTAGTTCTCTTCATTAATGCTAGCCATAAATGCAAGAAAGGCCAGGAAATACTTATTTTATTATTAATGGGATAGGTTCAGGCTTAGTCAAACTTAGTCAGCTTAGAAAAGATCTAATCAAATCAAAACAATAGCTGAGATTTCAAGAAGGGATCCTCTTAATATAGCTAAGACCAGATCCAAACCACTGTAAGCCACTATGTGAATGCTTCAGTTACTATTTTAGTCATTTCTGATCTTTTTCCTGAAATATTTTCATTATATTTTATTTCTTGGTTTATAAAAATCATAGAATTACCACACTATTAATTGAGTGATTTTCCTACATTCTCAAAACACTCACGTTATAGTGCAATCTAGCAATACTTAGTAGAAAGAACAAAAGACATATAGATTAAATTAATGTTGCAAATTAATTAAAAAACCTTGACCTCAAAAAACTTGGTTTCAAGTAAAATTTGAGTGAGCACTAATAGTTTATAATAGTTCCAGCTTTTAATATCTATCATACTGTAGCATGTTAGCTGTCTCACAGCAGCACATTCTAAATATAACTATGCATAAATCAAGCATGGGTTTGTCAACCAGATCTATTCTCTTAAACTACAAGGAGATATGTAGCATTGACAAATGAGAGCTCTGGAACATATTATCAGGCACGCCAATATTTAATTGTCAGATAGTAATGGGTGGAGAACCTAATGGAGAACAAACCAGAGTGGGGAGTGGGAAGATATCATTCAGGATGTAGATAGACCTAATTACAGTAGCTGCTCCACAGACATGTTGTCTTAGCAACCCAGGAGAGGTAAGGAAATTTATGCTTGGTTTCTTGATCAGTGCCTTCCCGATCTACAGTATTTTGTTCATCTTCTCTGAAGACTAGCAGTTAAGTCTATTGTTCTGTATTGCTAAACTAGGTATTGTATTACTATTCTCATTAGGTTCAGAGACCTACTGCTAAGCCTTATAACATTTCCACATAAGTCTTGAGAGAGTAGGAGTTAATGAATTTAAAAGGCATTCCCAATATAGTAGGTCAGATATGCCTGCCTCTCTCAGATATATTTGCTGCTGGAGAACTGAAATGCCATACAACTGAGCAAATGTTTTATCCCAAGGGATAAAAAGAAGGATACAGGGAAGTATAGACTGGTCACTTATACCTGGAACAGATTATAAACACTACCTTGAAAACAAAGAGGTAATTACCAGAAATCAGCATGGATTTGTAAAGAATAATTCTTGCAAGATTAATCTTGTGACTGAGTAGATTACAAAGATACTGTAGACATAAGATAGCTAGATTTCAGCAACAAACTGGGCAGATAATTGATAACCTATTAAGTACTGTAATCAGTAAATTAAGAATGATATGGATAGCATGACAATAAAGTGGCTTGACAATCAATCATTCTCAAACTGTGGTCATCAGTGGTCCCTCATTCAATTCAAGAGAGTTGGTGAGATCACCAACTCTCCCTCTCCTCCTTCAGTATTTCATTAATGATGTGTATGAAGAGATAGAACGTTTATCAAATTTTCAGACCTAACAAAATTAGATAGCTGATAGAAGACAGATAAAATTAAAAACAAGCTTGGTAGCTCAGAAAAATAAGTTGAAAGAAACAGAATTATATCTGTATTAGTGAAGTACCAGAATAGGCTATAGTAAAGCTGCTTATTTGAAAAAAGATCTTTGGCATAGTAACCAATTGCAGACTGAATATGAGCTAATGATATGATTGGCTACAAAAAAAACTACATCGACAAAAGTACAGTTTCCAAATAATGGGAAATAGTACAGGTAGTCCTCAACTTACAACTACAATTTGGTCCAAAATTTGTTCTTAAGTGAGAAATTTGTTAAATGAGGTTTGCCCCATTTTACGACCTTTCTTGCAAAGTTGTTAAGTGAATCACTGCAATTGATAAATTAGTAACACATTTGTTAAGTAAATCTGGCTTCCCCATTGATTTTGCTTGTCAAAAGGTTGCAAAAGGTGATCACGTGACCTGAGGTCACAGCAACGGTCATAAGTATGACCCAATTGCCAAGCATCTGAATTTTGATCACAGGATCATGGAGATGCTACAAAGGTCATAAGCCTGAAAAATAGTCATAAATCACTTTTTCAGTGCCTTTGGAAATTTGAACAGTCACTAAATGAATTGCTGTAAGTCAAGGACTACCTGTAATTCTGCATTATTCTACTTTGTTCATAAACCAACTTGAATATTTTGTCAATTACTGGGCAGCATACAACAAAGAGAGGCAGTTTGTTGTCGTGGTTAAAGGGATCAGTTTAGAAACTGGGAGACTATGAGTTCTAGTTCCTCCTTAGGCAAAAAACAAGCTGGGTGACTTTGGGCCAATTATTCCCTCTCATCCCAGGAAGAAGATAATGGAAAACCACTTCTGGAAACCTTGCGGAGAAAACTGCAGCAAGCGCTCAGACAGTTGCTGTGAGTCTTCACAGATTTAAAGGCATATGCGCACACGCATACATTAAGAAGGACTTAGATTAACTGGAACAGGTACAGAGAACGGCAACAAGCACAATCAAGGGAGTAGCAATAAGTCCCATAAAGGCAAATGTAAAGGAGCTGAAGATGTTTAGACTTGGGAAGAGATGACTGAGGAGCGGGAGTGATAGTACACTTCATGCACTGCTTGTAGCAGAGAATGAGATCAAGTCCTCCCTCATTGAAGAGTGACTTCCTTATAATCTGCTGCCTTCTTTTCTTGTTCATCATTTTTATGTTTTTGGCACCCTCTGGCCTAATTAGCTTAACATGATATGTAATGTTGACAATTTTATCTTTGGTCAGGAGACTGGACCAGATAGACTTTGATCCCACTAATTACACTCTGAAACTCAATCTAAATTGTTTTGCCCACTTGTCACAGATGTGACAGTGCAGTTTTGCTCTTGCTGGAGGGATGCCTTTTCATTTGCAGCAAATGGATTCCTATGCCTCTCAGAAGTATTGTCACAAAGATCAAATCAATTCTGTGCAACTCAGGCAGTTTTCACTGAGCTTGATTGAAAGGTCTTTGCCTCCACTCTGAACACCACATTAAGGCAGGGATGCAAGTTGCATCCCAAACAAAGGCCTTCCATCTCAACGTATATCACAGTATCGTTTTATTTATTTATTTGTTCATTTGTTTATATCCCACCTTTATTATTTTTATAAACAACTTAGGCTGGCAAATATACCTAATACTCCTACTTCCTTCTATTTTCCTTACAATAACTCTTTGAGGTGAGTTGGGCTGAAAGAGTGACTCGCCCAAGGTTACCCAGCTGGCTCATCTACCTGTCCATACGGTGCTTATTGCCTAAATGCATGCACAATAACCAAGTTTAGATTATCACATAAGCAAACTGAAGGCTCTTCTGCGGATTTGTATACTAGCCATTTCCTTCACTAAACAGAACTATTACATCTTCAATACATTTTTCCAGCAATATACAAAATTAGTTGCTCAGACCCATTAGTCTCAGACAGGATATAATGAACAAAGTTGGATGGCTTCAGCACAGCTGTTTTTATTTTACTTCAATTTATTGCAGAGGAAACTTTGCTCCATTATCTGACCTTAACTTTTACTTCAGTTAATGGCATTAAGGCCACTTCCCAACACTCAGGAATTTTTAGGGAGGTCTGCTTGAAATTAGATCTGTACCATCTTTTCTTTCTCCATTCCAGCTCACCCCAAGCCTGGGCCTTGTGTTTTTGTTTCTTTGGTCCACTGTCCCTTTCTTAATATAGATACTGGATCTAATTTATGGGATGTTTATACACAATTAGGTACTTCAGTTGTTTGTGTGAACCAGTTGCTAAATTCTCAGACATATTAGACCTAAGCTAAACCTAGTATTTTCCACTTTGCTTCATCAAGGTAACATTTTGGCTATCCAGGCAGAGAAGGAAGAGAAGGCTAACATGTGAGCTGATAGGAATTTGCACCATCAAAAAGGCTGATCTGTAAAATAATTGCATCAAACAGCAGTCTTCTGCATTATCTGAGATATTCTCCTGCCTTTATTGTACTACAATTAACCATTACTGACATGCTATGTATCCACCAGCTCCAACTGCTCAGTTTCAGTTTCTGACTTTGGTTTTTCTTAATAATTTATTATGAAAACATGTGCTGCATGTGTACATGCATACACAATTTTCAAATAAAAGCCTTCACCACACAGCAACACCAAAAACCATGGCAACATAAGTTCTGATAGGATATGGATGGGAAGATTGTTTTCCAGCAATGACAGGAATAATAATTTCTAGAAAGTAGATGCTCTGCCCCACCCCTGAACTGAATTTCTTTCTAAATCTACATATAAATATCATAGGATTTAATTAAGATTACCATGTGTAGAAAATTGTAGCAAATAAGTTCATGTTTATACTTAATCTAGAAGCATCCACTGCCTTAGTCCAACTTGGGCTCCTGAGAAAAAATTCTGACTGTAACATCTAGATTATTTTTATCTCAGTGATTGGGTCCTGGCTGCAAACCACCTTGTTATACATATTCATTATATGAAATATTACACATTTTGCTTTTTCTTTATTTCAGTCCATCGCATGGACTCTTCCAAATAATTTTTCCATACTAGATGTTCAAATATTCTTTTATTCCATTCAAACAGTGTAACAGCTACAAAATTCATGGTATATATTTCATGAGCAAATATCTCACAAAAGTACTGCCAGTCACCCTAAAACCATAAAAACATGTGATAGTACTAATAAGTAACAAATCAACATGTGGCCAACAGTGCCATTTTCATTATAGCCAGACTTATTCTCTTTTTATAGATAGTGTGTCTGTTTCTGGGAAAGTAATCTGAATTCCCATATTTCTGAAAGTTAGGAAGAAAAGCAGCATAATGAAAAGAGTTTCATAGTGCCTATAAGAGTCTGCTATATGATACTGTGAACAATGAACTTATATCCTAAGTTACCATAGTTTGTTATGAATATAACTATGATATTATTTGGAAAATGCTCCCTTCAGAGGGTGATAACCTTGCATAGAGTCTAAGGCATTCAAAAATATGCAACAGCATTCTTGCATATGTGCTAGTGATAGTTTAAATCATTGGTTGCCAACCAGTGGGCCAGAGACCACTGGTGATCCGTGAGAAAATTTTGGTGTTCCGCAGAGAAATGTCACCCCCAAAGCACCCCAAAGCCATTAATCCAGGCTGCAGGGGAACACAAGGCTTCCCCACCCACATGGCCCATGGGAACACAAGGCTTGTCACTTGCATTGCACAAGTCACTTGCATTGCGAACATGAGGTAGTGAGGGGAGGGGGGGAAACGGAAGAGGGGGGAACTTGCCCCATGTGCCTCGCCTGGCCACTGGACTGCTTCTTTCTTCTGCTTTTGGCTGCATGCAAAGAAAGCAGCAAAAGTCTTTCTTTCTCTCCCCCAAATGAAATGAGTCTTTGGGACCCTGCAAGGCATCCTGTTCCAAGAAAGCTGCACTGGCACAACAAGTCTCAGAAAGACTCATTTCTGGCAGAGTTTAGGGGAGAGAAAGAAAGACTTCTGCTGCTTCTGCTGCTTTCCTTGCATGGAGTCAAAAGTCTCTCTCTCTCTCTCCCCCTGAGAATGAATCTGGAGATGGTATCCTGAGATCTCAAAGAATGATCTATTGGTAGGAAAACAGGGTGGGGAATTTTCCTGCAGACTTTTTTGTGGATTTTCCCAGGGAAAACGTCAGCAAGCCACCGTCACTCAAAATTCATATTAGTGGTCCGCGGGATTTAAAATAATGAGTTTGGTGGTCCCTGAGGTCTAAAAGGTTGGCGACCCCTGGTTTAACTGAAATTTGAGAATATCTTCCATCTACCTAATTTTACTATGTTCTATTTTTTGTCAGCCAAAACAAAATCATCAAGACTTAATGCAAGTAAAGTTACATTACTTTCACCAAAGGATTTGTCTTCTTTGTATAAGACCTGTTGATGACTCCTGGGCATCCAGTTAATTTATGATTTAGGGGAGATATTTTCACTATCATCAGGAAACATACATGGAATCCTTGAAGGACATGATTCATTAAAAATGTGCAAGGCAACACCTTTTTAGTGCTCATCATTCTGAAAACATCAATAATGCTAACAGCCAAATCCCTAGAATAAATTACCATTGTAGTTTTCAGTATTCAATTCATAACTGGCACTAAAGCCATTTTGATACGCAGAAGAAACACCAAACATTAATCTCAACTATTTTTCAAGGGAGCTACCGCAACTAATAGGACTGCTATAGCAAAATTCCTATAGCCAGGATTTCTTCAATAACAATAATCCGTTCAGTCTTAGTAAATGCTGAACATGAGAGTTTCCAAAAATATCATGTATTATCACTGGATAGAGAAACTTGATTGCTCAGTATAAACAATACAAAGAACAGAAATTTCTTCTTTCCCCCAGCCTTTTTCTGGAGCCCACTGGCTCAGCAGCACTGATTCTACATTCAGTCAGTTCCCTACAAGCTGTTCCTTACAACAGCAGGTAAATGTGATACACTTGCTGGCCTATAAAGTGGTGGCCCCCCAACCTTTTGGCCACCATGTATTGGTTCCGAAGAGAAAGGTTCTTCCACCGACAGGAGGGGCATGGCTTTTCATGCTGCCTGCATCCCATGGATGGGGCTTTGCTTGTTTCTGCCAGTTGCTGGCATGCCACAGACCAGTGTCTGTCCACAGATCAGAGATTGGGAACCCCTGCTATAAACCATTAATTATTCAGGTAGCCAAGTTGACTTCCAATGTGAATTTTCTTCAGAATAGCATCCTACCTGAATATGAAGTACTCCAAGGGCTTGCTAGGGCTTTGTTAGAATATCCTGTTTTAAACTTCATGTGAAGTCTCCTTGCTCTATAGTCAGATTAAACACTATAAGAGAGGTGGTAGCTGAATTCCAATGCTCAGCAGTCTCACCTAGCAATATTAAAGAAGAAGGATGCTGAAAATTATTATTCAGCTTAATGGCTGCCAATTATCTACCCCAGGGGTTGCCAACCTTTTGGACCTCAGGGATCACCAAACTCATTATTTTAAATCCTGCGGACCACTAATATGAATTTTGACTGACGGTGGCTTGCTGACGTTTTCCCTGGGAAAATCCACAAAAAAAGTCTGCAGGAAAATTCCCCACCCTGTTTTCCTACCAATAGATCGTTCTTTATTTGAGATCGCAGGATACCATCTCCAGATCTCAGAGGGAGAGAGAGACAGAGACTTTTGACTTCATGCAAGGAAAGCAGCAGAAGCAGCAGCAGTCTTTCTTTCTCTCCCCCAAATTCTGCCAGAAATGAGTCTTTGTGAGACTTGTTGTGCTGGTGCAGCTTTCTTGGAACAGGATACCTTGCAGGGTCCCAAAGACTCATTTCATTTGGAGGAGAGAAAGAAAGACTTTTGCTGCTTTCTTTGCATGCAGCCAAAAGCAGAAGAAAGAAGCAGAAAGAAGCAGTCCAGTGGCCAGGCGAGGCATATGGGGCAAGTTCCCCCACTCTGCCCTTTCCCCCCCTCCCCTCACTACCTCATGTTGTTCGCAGTGCAAGTGACGCAAGCCTTGTGTTCCCATGGGCCATGTGGGCGGGGAAGCCTTGTGTTCCCCTACAGCCTGGATTAATTGCTTGGGTGGGGGGGGTGACATTTCTCTGCAGACCACCAAAATTTTCTCATGGATCACCAGTGGTCCCTGGCCCACTGGTTGGCAACCATTGATCTACACCAGTGTTTTTCAGTTTCAGCAACTTTAAGACATGTAGACTTCAACTCCCAGAATTTCTGGGAATTGGTCCATATGTCTTAAAGATGCCAAGGTTGATTTACACCTGTGGTTTAGGTTCTGCTAAACTACAGGAGTATGTAATCTGTGGTCACCTGCTGAATTTCTTTGGCTTTACATAATTAGAAGAGTACCTCTTCCTTTTTTCATGCAAAAGACTGAAGAGCAGAATGAGGGTAAATTTTTTAATCTTCTTGTCTGAAGACTCTGTCAATGTTAGGTTCCCTTTTGTACTGCATCCAACCTTGTTATTATCATCATCCTTTTATAAACATTGAAAGAGGAAAAAGAGAAGAAAAAATACCTACTGTTGCCAGGTAACTGCATCCACTATGTTCCCTGCCACCTTCATGAACCTGTGAAATACAGAAAGTAGGTAAATTTATGGGCATAAGAGAAAGGCATACATGTGTACATGTGCACATGCATGTACACACACATCCTACATACACACCTGTCCCTCTATCTTTGAACAAATCCAAGTATTCTGTCAAATACACAAAATGAGTACTTTTGTGAGAGCCATGCTTCAAAGTAAATGAGCCAAATGCAGTATGAAATAAATATTCATGCTTACTTCAGTTCTGCATGCACTTTTTTGTTGAAAGAAAAATCTAATCTAAATAAATTTAAGCCAGTAATTCTGACTCAATTGGTGCTATAATATTTAAAGATCTGAACCTCTTAAAACAGTTTTCTGAACATGGCTTCTTTTGAATATTTTGGAATTGCAACTCTTCAAATTTCCACCAAATATGGTTTAAAACAGGCGCTATTTTTAGAGAAAGGCAAGAGACACAGAATTCTAGCAGTTAGCTGGGAAATGTGTATCAGATTATGAAGTGGGCAAAAGCAATATGTGTAATACTTAAGTGTACACAAGTGTGTGATGCCATGACTATCTAAAATGCATGGAATGATTTGATTTCACAGCTAGAACTGAAAGTGGTGTAGCATTTTCTCTTGCTGATCACAAAAATACATCTAATTTTGGAAGGGAAAAGATACAGTTTCAGAAGAAAAGATTTCCAATTCTTTCTCCAATGCTGCTGTGTGGATTAAACTGGCAGACCCTCCCAATTGTGTTTCATTTAAAAATTGTTGGAAAATCTGCAGATTCTAGACAAGTCATTTATTACGCAATCATAACATGTAGTTCATGGGATTTTATAGCAAGATCCAGATGTTGTTTTCTGTTTATAATCCACCAGTGTTTTTTCTCTATAAAGAATCCCTTAAGAAAGAAAAGATGGAGCAATTGCATAACATGCACTGATGGATAGAATTACAAATAAGTCTGGAAGCACAGCTAATCATGGAGAATTATTTCAATTAGTTTAGTCATGTAATACAATCTCAGTAACTGTGAATACTGAGAGTGACAACGTAAGAAACATGCCATAGTGAGTTGCACTCATACTGTGAGTCACAATGTTCCAGGTCTAATGGTGATTTGAACATGACCCCCCCACACACACATTTATTCATTCCAAATGTGAATGAATCGGAAATAGCATCATATTGATAAATTTATTCAGCACAAAAATATTAAAGAGTACTAATCCTGCCTTATTTATAGTTTCAGCTTTGCTAATAGATAATTTAGATAGTAGATAATTTACTTTTGTGGGCTGCTAGTCATTCAACCTATCACTATTAAATTCTAATTCATACTGATGGTACTGTGCCATGTGCCATCAATGGATCTCTTCCCACAGTTTCATGCAGATTTTAAACAAGAATAGGTAGAGTACTAATCCCTGTACAGCAGGGGGAGAAGATTTCCTATTTCCCCTCCCCCATCAACATTGACTGGAACCATACCCCAAATGAAGCTATTCAGGCAGAATGTTAAGAGAAATTTCATTTTCCTTTTTTATCATAGTAATGGATCTAGAAGGGGATTTGTGAAAGGTGGACTGTGGAGATTGCAATGATTTGGAAAGTATGGGCGTTTCAAGTCTTGGGATAAAAAAGAAGGGCTTTCCCAATCTTCAATAGACCAACACAGTTTCTGTTCATCTTATTTTTTAGGTATCTGAGTGAGTGGTTGGATGATAAGAGTTTTCTCCAAGCATCTTGAAGAGTAGAATGGCTGGAATTATCTTGGTTCTGGTGTTGTACATTGGAGTGGTAGTTGGATCAACAAAAAGAGGCAACAGAAGGTGGAGGTAGACACAAAGCAGTGGTAGAATTGGAATTCCCATTCAGCTGTGAGCAAGAGCCATCACTCAGCTGTTTTGCACCATGTCCGTCGTAGTTGAGCTATAGAAGATCTCTCCTTTCTTTGCTTTTTTCCAATATCTAGTTAGAGTTCCAGGAGTTTCTACCTATTTTCCTGTGCTCATTGGAACTTATTAGACCATATTATTATCATTGGATCATGTTGTACATAGCACCACTTTCCAAAAAGTGATGTTTTACTGTTTGGAAAGTTTCCTAGTAATAATCCATTTATAAAATTCAGAAGACTCTTTAAAAAAATAATAAAATCAGCATTTGGAAGAGGGAAGCCATATCAAATATTCAACTTGAACTAACTGTACCAACACTGAATTAGGTGATTCATTCATCTGAGTCTTGGTAATGCAAGTTTATAAGAAAAACAGGGAACACCAGTCCAAAAAAGAACACAATCTACCTTGCATATTTTATATCATTTATATTCTGGTAAACATATAGAAATAGTGGAATTTTCCAACCAATCTATAAAATTGAAATAACCTATAAGCCACATCCACTTGAAATCCTCCCCGATGAGATATAGTTAGCTCTTGACTTACAACTATTTGTTCAGAGACTGTTGGAAGTTAAGGTGGTGCGAAACTAAGGAACTTATGGGCAGTTCTTGAAGTTACAGCCATTGCAGTGTTCCTGAAGTCATGGGATCAAAAAAAAAATCTAACTTTTTAAAAATAATTGTTAATAATAATTGTTTTATACGTTTATTGTTTTAGTCTTGTATGCTGCATAGAGTCACTTGCTTTATGAAATCAGTGGCTCATTTAGACAAACAAACCAAAAATAAATAAAATTCTTCCATTTTTTTTTTCTACTTGGCTTTTCCGTGATCCATGTGTAAAATGATTTCGGTGAAGGTGTATGATATCTATATTGGCCAGATATACTTGAAGAATTCCCTGCTAGAAAAATTCTGCTAGATTGGTTATATCTGTTGTCATTTTCATAAATCTATGCCAGCTACTAGCAATTACCCTGTTTTCCACAGGTGCTTAAAAAGATTGATTTATTGCTCATTCTAATAACTTCCAGGGTATAAAAGTCAAACTAACCAGTCTATAACTCCTTAATTTCTCCTTCTTAAATCACATATTTGTCCTTCTCCAGTCTTTTGAGTTTTTTCGTCTTCTGCAAGAACCAGAAGTAATTGCTTGGGCTCCAAGATATTTCTCCAGAATTTGATAGTTATTCTTTGATGTGTGCTTTTCTTTCCTGATCCACATCTGTTTTCCTTCCATGTTTGTCATATATCAACATTCTGCAGCATACAGCATGTAAAAATGGGTTCTGATTTAGTGAATGGTCAGAGAACTGTCTCAGAACATATATGAATGTCTGCGGTGTCAGTCAGATCTTGGGAAATAAATTAATGGCAACCTCTAATATCAATGATAATTCTTGCAATATGTAAAAAAAACTTCCAGCAATGCTTACATAGTATAATGTTTGTTTAAATGAACAACAGGTAGAGCCAATTTTATGTAACAAGAAGAAAAAAGAGTGAATCTCACACCTTATACTATAGGAATAATAAACATGCACAGATGACAGCATTCATCTACTGTTTTCTATTAAATTTAACTGTTCATGAAAAGGACTTTCCTAGAGAAAATACTTCATAGCTTTGGAGCGTGTATTTTATGCAAGTTCAAAAGTAGCACATTTTAATCTCTATCTCTCTATCTGATTTATATTGTGCTGCTCTTTTGGTGGCCCACAATAACACACAAAATATAATAATATTCAAAAATACACATTATAAGTACAATAAAATAAAGCAAAGCAATTCCTGGCTTCAGACCCTCTGGGATAGTTCTGTTTTCAACTTTTTCCAAAAGGCAGATGGGAAGCCATTCCAGATGAGCCAGGCCCATCACATTAAAATATTTCCAGGCTTCAGCCTCTCAAACCTCTCAAAACTGGGGACAACCAGCTGCTTCTGCTTGCTCAACCAAAGTGGTCAGGCTGCCGGTGGGGAGATGCAGTTCTGCAAATAATTTGGTACTAAGCCATAATGCAGGTTAAATGAGGTATCTCTATTCATTTTCTATATCTGGTAAAACAACCAGCAATTAATAAAACAGAAATCTCTAGTAGACTGCCACAGGATTATTTGTGTGTGACAGAAGGAAAAGTGTGGGCTATAAAATGGTCTGTATCTGAAATTAATTTCTCTTTCACTATAGGTGCTTCTAGTTATTCTGCAGCTCCCCTATTGTGTTAATGGAATTTTATAGGGGGTTCATATGACATTATTTTTATTTGCAACCTCTTATGATTCCAATTGCTTCCTCCATATTTTTTTTTCTTAAAAGATGAAGTAGTTGCACTTTATCTTTTAGTTGGTAATATTACTAATCTTCCATCTGACAATACCCAATGAAGATTAAGGGGGAATGGGACTTAAAAATAAGCTTTATGACTTATAATTATTCCCTGTGTTTATGGGGCAAGGGGCAAATGGTTTCTTCCGCAGATTTTCAAAGGGTGTGTATATATATGAATGAGCATTGAATCTCCAAGAACATGCATAATGCTTTTATTGTTGTTGTTGATGTGTTTTTTTAGGGGAGAGTCCTGCCAAAACCAGTTATCCCAGAGAGACTTAAAATCATAACTTAAAGTCAACTATGGCTGCTCCAAATTTAAGATAATATTTTTACTCTTCTTCCAATTCAATTTTTACATTTAAATGATTTAGCACACTTTATCAATGATGTAGTTGATGACTCAAGCAGAAGCATCACCCTATCTCTCCAATTGCTAGATGCTGCTATTTTAGTTCGAATTACAGAGGAGACTGAATTCTGGTCTTCTGTAGAAATGCTTGTCTAGTATTCTAGCTCCTTATGTAAGTTTTTAAAATATGTAAGTTTTTAAAACTTTTGAAAGTCCTGTGTTGCAGAGACAGTTGAATTAATCCAAGAACGAGAACCATATTTTACCATTGTGTGTTGCTTGTTTTGTCACTAATGTGTGCACTGCAGGTTTTCATATGCTTCTACCAACATGGGGTTTCATGTGGCCATTTTTGGAGTGTTTTTAATATTTTAGATGGGGTTCATTTTTGCTACTCCATGGCTCTGCGTGCTGACATCAGCCTTAATGCACAATGGAAGTCTATAATGCAGATAGTAAAAAGTATGCTATCACACTTTTTCTAGACTGAAATACAGCACTTTGATGCAGCAATCTGTCTGTGCCCTAATTTTCTGCATTATTTTCTTCTCAAAATCCACATTTGGTGGGAGAAGGAAAAATAACTTTCCCATAAAGCAGTCTTCCCCAAATTCTCCATCAAATTACAGTATGGGACTACTACAGAATATTGCTTGAGAATTCTGTAAATATTCATCTGGAGGACACAAGGCTGGGAAAATAGATATATGTATTAATGCAGATACATTTATGACAATATATGATATAATATGAATTATTTCATAAATATTAAAAATGGCAAGGTACCACAGAAATGCACATTTGGACAACTGAATTATAAGGAATCTGTTAAACGTTCTAAATATGGTGACTTTTAGGGGAACTCAACTGTAAGATATCCAGTCAGTAAGATAACAGCTACAGCTTAAAAGAGGTTGGGACCACAGTTTTAAAGCATGCAAGAAAAAAGATCATAAACATGTAAGGCTGAACATTCCCTTCAAAGGAGGCGACTTAAATCAAATAAACTGTCAAGGTAGTTTGCATACCTATCTGACAGCACAAACTATAAAGTTGATATACTTATTTCAGGGATGCATAATGTTTTCTCTCATACGAAATCCATTCTTTTATATTTGTTCATCTTTATTATATGGTCAAACATCAATAACACAAGAAAGTTCACCCTATTTTCACACTTCTAAAGATTTTTTTTATTACTTTTACTTCCGTTGGTAGGAAAGCCCACTGTTTGATGCAGATACTTCAAAGGAATTTTTGGTTATAAGGTCAGACACGTAAGTTAGGAAGTGGGTAGACAGTGTGACAGCAAGCTGAATACTTTGCTTTATTATGTTACATATTTTACAAAAAGTTGACTGAAGAGCCTTTCTCATTATATATGAGCACACATATATATGTATGCACTGTATATACTGCGTGCATATGTGTGTATACACACAGATACATACACACACATATGTGTATGTGTGTATTTGTGTGTGTATATGTGTATACAGTGTACACACACTCTCTCATACACACACACACACACACACACTTTTTAACTATTAAGGAAATGGTTTACAGGGACTGAAACATCTTACACCTATGCCAAATCAATCAGAAAGTGAGAGGAGGGGTGCTCAGTCATCCCATAAGTCCTTCTTCCTTCAGCTCTGAGAAATGTTGCACAGGATCAGCTTTGACTCAGAAACTATCAATTCTCCTTTCTTTTAGATTTAGTTGCTAAAACATATGTCACAAAACTAGAAGGGACATGATTATTTTACTTCTATTACAAGAAAAGATATCATATTCCTATTTAGATATTGTTAAGAAACCCTGAGTAGTTCAGGTGCTTGCTGTCCTCTTAATATGATTTGTAAGCAGATATGGCAAATACAGCAATGCCCAAGGGATCAGATAATATCAATTTAAAATATCGAATGCTAAAAGGGTAGTACTAAAAGACTACTTTAGATTCGGCAGGCTCTTTGTGGGCCAAGATCATACAATGGCATCACAGCTCCCCGAGTTTCTTATGGAATGATTACTGAACTTATTTCAACTCTCAAATTGGTATTGAAATTGGTCTCCACAGAAGTCGATGTAGGAGTGCAATCCCTTTTGGTTCCGTAGGACCTTCTTAAAAGTAGTACCTTTGAACATGGCATTGTCTAGAGTCCCCTGGAGGGAATAGACCAGTGGGGCATTGTCTGTGATAATTGAAATTAGCATGATGTAACACTTTGTGAGACCTGCTTTGTCCTGCTTCACCATACAATAGCAAAGAAGAGGCTAGTCAGTCACTTGTTAAAATTCAGAATTTTCCCATCCTTGCCCAAAATTACACAGTTGTTTGATTGGTGAATTATTTCCTGCCACTTGTAAAATTCAGAAAGACACAGGGCATCCAAGCGAGAAAGATTAAGCAATCACTATGCTTAACACATCCCAGCACGAGAAAGCTTTAACAGAAGTAATGATGCAGGGTAAGAATTGGCAATAAAGTCATCAAATGTTATGTCAATGTAGTTTCCTGTTTCAGGACGGGTGGGAAATGGCCAAATGGGGAAAAGCATGACCAGTTGCCAGTCCCCTCACATTTGGCCATAAAACATCTTGGAATGGTTCTGATCTCTTATATCTGATGGTGATGGAGATCTTTACTAGGCTGTGCATTATTCTCTTAGCTTACAATGAGAAATGCAAGGCTTCCCTATTATAAGAAATAAAGGATTATATAGTAATTCTGAAGATAGGTATGGCTTCCCAGGCTGAATGGAACCAGTGCAAATTATATCTCACAATACAAAGATAATCATAATAAGCTGAATAGATAGATAATAGTTATTTTCTAGCTTTCTACATTGTTTGCCATGATTACTTACCCATCCAAGAGGGTGACAACATTTTTTCTAGGTCTCCCAATATTGGGCCCATACAGATTGGCTCGGGAGTAGGTGCGGATTAACTGTAGCAGTCTCTTTAGCTGCATATAGTCCTTGCCCAATTGAGTGCCATTCACTGCTCGTCCTGTTAGGGTTCGGTAATTATTTGGTTCTGTAAGAAAACAGAAAAAAAACCATTAACCAACCTTGACAATATCCTGACAATTCACCTGATAAACCTTCATCAATTTGGAAGCATTACATGTACTTCATTTAACACTAGTTTGAAGTTACAACAGCCTTGGAATGAATCTAATTGACTCAATTCTGGATATAGTGATGTAAGATTGCACTGTAAATATATTTATCTCTAGGTACTCGTAAACTTTCTCATATATATATACTTGGTCTCACATTTATTGCACTAATATCTTAATTCAACTCATTTGTTCTATTTGGATCCCTGTAGGGATGAGTTGCACTAACATTCCATACAACATGCTTCATTGAGAAAAGTTCCAAATGTAGTGCTTCTTTGGTCCTCCCGTTCCCTTCCCTTCTCCAAATCCCCATCCTTAAAGTTCACTTACCATTGCCCAGTTCCCAGGAGATATTGTACTTCTTGCTGGCACTGTACTTGAGCAGGCTGAGGGCATTGGAGCTGTTCCAGGAATTGTTGGGATTCCGGCGCAAAGCATTTAATGCAAAGATGAGATGCAGGCCAGAGCAGTCAGCAAAATTATAAAGTTTGTCTAGAGACCTGGCTGGGAAAAAAACAAATCCAACCTGAAACTCAAATGCAAAGAGGAACACTCTTGGCTACATTGGAAGATGCCCTGGGGTAGGACTATATCAAAATACAGCCTTCATATTTTTCAAAATCTAGTTGTTCTAGAGTTTCATTACTACCCAACCCTTCAATTCAATGATATGAATTGTTATAAAAGGACATACTCAGGAACTCACCTAATGATTGTTTCATTATAGCAGTTAGGAGTGGGGGAGAAACACATGGATACATAGAGTCTACCTTACTATTCTAAACCCTCCCTGCATCTCTGCTTTTCTAGTGCCATAACTTACCTTCAGTTTGCCAAGGAGTTGTCATTATCTACTAGAAGTGGAGAGCCTTCATGATAATGGTACAATTTTAGAGGGGAGATAAACTTGTTGAAAAAAGACCAGTAAACGCTAACATTATTATGGTTGGTTGAATAGCCAGGTGTTTAGGCTAGATTTGGCATGTTTATCTACTTATCGAGTCCTTCCAAGGACCTGGAATAAGTAGATGTTGTTTTATAATATTAACGGCATTGCAGAATATAAGCTATTTCAAATAAAGGTATCTTTTGCAATTGACTGGTGGTAATTTTGCCAATGCCAGTGGAATTCAAGTTCCACATGTTTTGGAATTACACCCAAGATGCCTATTACTTTTGGTACTATCTTTGCTTTTTTTGCCACAGTCATTCTACTTCTATATGCAGGTCTTTATATTTTATTATTATTATTTTGATTGGTTGCACAGTCTGCCAGATGTTTAGACTGGATTTGGCATTTTTATCAACTTATTGAGCTCTTCCTAAGGATGTAGGATAGGGAGATGTTGTTTAATAATAACACCTGTCACAGGCCATAATTGTTTTCTCATCAGTGTTGTTGTTCACAAACATTGATGTTTCATGGTGTTAAAAGTATTATTGCAGGATGTAAGCTGTTTCAAGTAAAGCTGCCTTTTGCAATAGAGAGATGGTGATTTTGTCAATGCTGATGGTGTTCAAGGGATACTCCAGTTCTGAGTTTGCACTTGAGGAGCTTTCTATTATTATCAAGATTTTGAAGTAGTGACAGACTATTTCCCCAAGCTCCCAAAATTCACAGAACAGTAACTATGAGCAGAAGCTATGAAAAAATCTAATTTTAGTGCAGAGACATCACTCTTTGTTGTCCTGAACTGTAACACATGATTGTGAAATCTGAATTATCAGTAACATTGATGCCTTTGATTTATGGTGCTGACAAAAGTGATTGAAAATATTTTGGATTGCAATAACATAAAATTCAATACTACATGAAATAAAACCACAGAAGCTCCAATGATGAAGCTAAAGCTTAGTGATTTTAGACATACAGTATGCAGCCAGAAATAATATGATTGGCAGGAACATGTAACATGAAGGCAAAAGACCCTGATGCCTGGACAAAGAGTAAGCAATCAAACCAGAGGCCAACAGTGGGGTGGCTGGATACTATCAGTGTAACACAAGCTTATGCTACATGCATAAAATAAGATGTCAAAGAAACAACTCTATTGACAAGTGATCCCGGCAAAATTATGTCCACTGGATTGTAAACAATTGGAAGTGACAATGAAGTAAGATTCATGATTATTTATTAGTTAGTGGTTGTGAATTCTCTCATGCTGATTGGCACATTTTGTGCCAAACATACATGTTTTATTATGAGAGCTTCCATACTCTGTTCAGATCCATTTGTACACAGAGAAAATTTTTCTGTGAAGGCCTCTTTATCATACTTTGAATATGCCTTCCTCCTCACTTTTTAAAAGCTTTATTGTTTTTATTACAATTAAATAATGTTGTTATTAATTTGCTTGGCATAAAACCATATTGGAAAATATCTACCTGCAAAGATATATATTTTAAATTAAATAGCAGTAAGGATATCCCTTCCTGTAAATGTGTCATATTTATTATGCTTCTGATGTTAGATTGGGTATTTATGCTATTATAAAATGTGAGAGACCTAAATGTATGTAAATGGCTTTCATAGTTGAGTGCTTCCTAAAGAAAGCTATGACACTGAATTACATAATAACATAGTCTATTTCTTTTCAGTAGAATTTTCTTTCCTTGTAGGCTCTGATCCAAAGTACCAGATACCAATAGAAGAGTATATGCACAGCTCAGGATTGAACTGTAGATGCACTGATGATGTTACCAATCAGATAATGAAATATCCGTAAGCAACCAAACTCAGACAACATCAAGGATTCAAATTACCAAGTGTATATGTTATTGTGACCCCAGAGGTGCTTGAGGAAATAGGTTTTCCTTTTTCAAAAACAAATGTTAAAGATTGCAAATTATTTTTTCAACAGCTCTTAACTGAATAATTTATTTTTTCAACTGTTATTAAACTAAAAACAATAGGAAAAATCTTGGAACCAGTGCATTTGTTCTGTAACTCTTGTAGAAGTGACTTCAACTTATAGGAAGTAAATCAATGTCATTCTGTCTTACAGACTAACACTGTAATTTTATTTGCAAAGTGTATTACATTTTTCTCTTGTTTTTAAATAGTGACTTACCCACAAATATATGGATAAGTCACTATTCTATGTTGTAGATCAGGACCTGAGGCTAAAACATTACAGGAAAATGACAATACTTCTTGCCTTGCAAACTTTCTACTTTTTCTATTTACTCAATCTATGAAAAATCATGAAAGTAAGGATGAGCACAATCATATGTTTCATTCACCATTATTCCTTGTGTGTCCAATCACGCTTGGCCAATAAAGAATTATATTCTATTAGTATTGCTCAGTTGGAGGTGCAAAGCAAGAAGAAATCTTCTATAAGAACCTTAAGAACCTTAAACTTGCAGTTTAAGAATTAATTGCAGAAATAATTATTTGCTTTAGAAGTTATTCTTCCAGTTTCAAGATTATGATTGCCATAGAACTGGTATGCTGCTTCACCTACTGTGTTGATTAAACCAAGAAAATAAAACAAAACACCTAAACAGAATTTAGATCTAACCAGTGAATATTGTGGAACTTTTTTTTTAAAGTAGTGGTAAGTAAAATTTATTGATTACTTAGTAAATACTGACGACAATGTACTACAATGTGTCTCAGAAATCCTCGTCCCACTCCCCACCCCAAATAATTCCTGCAGAGAGAAACATGTCCATATAGTCATTCTTTGATGAATTTGTAGATATTGATGGAGCTTAAACTGATATCAGAAGCAGTCTTTCTGGGCTGAAAAGCAAGTTGTGGAGGGGGTGGATCTCTAAAGTGAAAGGTCATGGATGCTAAATAGGCCCAGACGGCTGGTGGTTTGTTTTTTATGGGGCCAAAGACTGGGTCTTCTCCCCTGGGGGAAATCTGTTGTCTCTCAGGTCTCAGTCACTCCTTGTTACATTAGCCCCATTCTGTTTAGGTCATGCAATTTCTGAGGAAACCTTGACTTTTGTAAACCTCTTGGGGCCTCCTGTTTGCATATGCTCACATTTTAGCACAGTCAGAGCCAGCTCCAGCTTTTGATAGAAAATCCTAAGAAGATTTTTCCCAATCCAAAAACATTATTTTTTCTCAGAGAGTTCTATATTTTCTGGGGTGAGGTGTGGGAGTAAGGAGAGATGCTGCAAGCTTTAAGTGGAATCAGGTGCTGTTTTCCTGCAGGGACATCTGGAAAATGTCAAGGTCCTTGGTGTAACAGGTACTGGCAGATGAGCCCACTGCTTCCCACACAAAGCACTCTCTTTCCTTCTGGAATCATACATCCTGTCCTTTGTCCCTGGAACAGAGATCCTTGAGCTGGGTTAAATTACCAGCCACATGCTGAAAAATCAGCATCCATTGGCAGTGCTAATAGGAACAAAAGATGGCATTTCTAAGAAAAATGCAGGCTCAGAATCAGTCATTCCAAGTTCTTCTGTATCACTTTATGACTAGACTCCACCTGCTGGGGCCAAGAATCATTTCCGAAGCTCAGAGGATTCCACCTGTGAACATCTAAGTGCTGGAGGAATATACACTGCCATAGCGATCTCTATCATACAGTATTTCTTAAGAAAGAAATCGTGAAAGAAAAGGGCGGTGGTTGCAAGAAGAAACTGATGATGTATATAATATAGAGAAATATAGTTGCAGCTTAGAGTGTTCTTTTTCCCTTGGATGTTATGCTGCTGCTTTCTGGAGATACCATTAGTAAAGCAATGACATATAAAAAGGGATCAGGCTTTTCTAAAATAGAATTATCTCTGTTGCGTCTAATCATATTCCACCCTCGGGGATCCCTGGCTAACACGTGCCATATGCCAAATAAATAAGTAAGTACTCCACCCAAGTTTTTTTTTACTTCTCAGGGCTTGCATCAGAATAGTCTTGGTGACTCAACAAAGTTAAAAGATGTAGATATAGCATTCAGAGCAGGGGGTTAGGACAACTCGACGTAGCCAACTTGCCATAGCAGTCTCACTGCAGTCAACTCACCGCAGGACAATTCAATGCAGAATAATTCAAGAAAGGGACAAGTGAAGTATAGCAGGCCTTGTCTTGCTTTAGGTTTGAATCTTCTAAAGTTAGAAGTCCTGGGGTGAGGCTGGGGTGAGTCAGAACATGGAACACCCCAACAGCCAAGGCATGCAGCCAGCCATTGAGCAAACATGTCGTACCGGATAGTCCCTGCATACTGTACTTTTTATACAGCACTTAACAATACTTTTTATATACTTTTTTACTTTGTTATTCCTTGTTCAGAGTTGTTAGGAATGGAGCTGTCTATCAATATTGTAAAACATTTTTTAAAATATTTATATTGAATACCATAAGTGTACTGTGTTTGGTTAGCTTTTCCTAAAAGTGTTATGTCTTTAATACTGACTGAGAATAAATGCTTTCCCATCACTATGTTCTTGTGTTGGAAAAACCTGCCTCTGCTGTTTTTCTGCCTGTTATAAAGCTCCTGAAGGCAATGAAACACTATATTATCCTTTTTCTAGTGAACTCCAGA